ATTATTCTCTTTTGAAATTTATTATATTATGTCTTGAATTATGACAATTTATGAATCCTGTCTCTTCAGCAATTTTATCAACACAAACTCACAAGGCAAAATACTTCTAATGCTTTTTGCTTCCTTTCCCATCATCCAGCAGAGTGTTTTGCCCATAGTAACCATCAGTAGTTACTGAATGCGGGAACCTTCCATGTAAGTGTTGTGCTATGGTTAAGATTAATCACAAATTACAAGGTAGATATTAATCATATACAGATATTTAGTACCTAACTGTAATTTTAATTAAATGTGCACAAGTAAATGTGCAAAAGTCTGTGAAAGGACAGGTATGGCTTTGTTAATATTGCTAAATAGGCATGTTTTTACATTTTCTGAAATAGGTTATATTAGTTTTGTAGTAAAAAATGCTGAAAGACTGGCTGTCAGAAAACATAACTTACAGTGTACGAATTCAATAAAGGGTTGTACTAAGTAAAAACATTACACCTTTTGAATAGTTCTTCTAACACTGAAAAAAATCCTGGTGTGTCCAATACAAACTCTGTGTTTTGTTATGTCAAGAACACGTTAACCCTTAAGTTTAAAGTAATTTGAAGGTAGAAATATACCAGCAGCGTCTGTCCCGATTTTTTGTAAGTGAAGACAAAACTTCTCCCTTCCTCTGCTGAAGCCCAGTTTGTTATTTGGCAATTAGGCCCATTTTTAGCAAGTACACAAGAGTTATGATACCTGTACAACTATAAAATTAGAGAAATTTCTATTTTGGTGGAAATATATGAAGATAATGGCTCTGCCTTAAAATTTATCTTTGTAGCACTGAGCACATTTTCAAGCAGAAAAGAAGGGTAATAAATGCCTGATAAATGAATAAATAAAGAGTTTAATTTTATAGAACACAACATCAAATAGTAGTGCTGAGATGGTGATGATATTAATTATACGGACAGGAAATACTCAGTTCCAAAACTATGGACCAAATTCTATTGAATTTGTTGAGTTTCTCTAATAGAGAAAACACAGGCTCGGCGCCTCTGGGTCAGTGGCTAGGTTGCCAGCCACATACACTGGAACTGGTGGGTTGAACCCAGTTTGGGCCTGCAAACAACAATGACAACTACAACCAAAAAATAGTGGGACATTGTGGTGGAAACCTGTAGTCCCAGCTACTTGGGAGGCTGAGGCAAGAGAATTGCTTAAGCCCAAGAGTTTGAGAGTTTGAGGTTGCTGTGAGCTGTGATGCCACAGCACTCTGCCAAGGGCAAGGTAATGAGACTCTGTCTCAAACAAACAAAAAGACAAAACCAGAAAAAAAAAAAGAAAACCCACACTGCGGTCCATTTTAAGTATTACTCTAACAAAATTCTGCTTTTGTTTAGGGCTTTTTGATAACATCAGGTATCTTGATAGAACACAAAAGCCTCAGGTGGACCACAGTGTACCCCAACGTTTTGAAACTTCTAGAGGATCTACAACTTAGAAACCTTTTGTTTTATATTTGCTGTAAGGTCAATATTTCTGTAGTTACCTAATAATACTTAAATTTAGCATGAAAAAGAGAGGGACAGTAGATGTTCCATGCCAATAAAAGGTACACCATGAATAGAGGAACCAAGAAACGGTGCCTGACATAATAATTGGCCAGTGAGAGTCCTGGGCGTGACTATCCATTAGCTACAGATGTGACCGTTTCTGAGCCAAATGAGAAAATGTGGTACCCACAGACCTCAGAATACATTTCCTTGTGTTACTGCCCTATAGGGAGATGTGTACTTTCATATTATGGGAATAAAATATAAGACACTTGATTTATGTGGGATCATGGTCCAAACACACGTACACAAAAGACATTGTATTTCTGTAATATGAACACTGCAAGTCCTGCATCCACATGGAAGTAAATTGAAGTTATATGCAGTTACTTTCTTTAAAGAGCATGGATTGAAGCTGTGGTGCCCAGTCTTTGCTGCCAATGGAAATCACCTGGGATTTGTAACGGTGCTGCTAACTCTGTTAACTCCTGATGGGCGTCTGGTGTTCTGATCTAACTGATGGAGGTGTTAACTGGGCACCTATATTTTAAAAAGTCCCGCCGTTGATTCTTGTAACATCTCAGTTTAGTGACCACTGGATTCCAAGGTGGGGGAGCTAGTCTAACGTAGTATGGACAATTCTCAGGAAAGCTCGTGTAATGCCAAAAGCAGAAGAGGCTATAATATGATTTTATACTATTGTCACCTGTACTAATATTAAAACTTGTCATACTAATCATTGATTTTCTTCTTGAGTTAATACTATAGGGAATTGTGTTGAGTGCTTTACACGGACAATTCCACTGAATTTCTACAAAATGACACACATTATCTGCTTCTCATTTCATTTTTTAAAATTGAAAGAGTCAGGTAAAATGATTTTTAGGGGACCCACAGTCATGAGAATTCTCTGAAATTACTTCCATTCATTTCAAAATAACATGGTCACAGGTTTTTTCCACACGTAATTTCAATATTTATGGAATTTTGATATTTCTACATGTTTACTTAGCAGCTTAAAACCTGGCTACTTATTTGATATTTCACAAGGCATGTTATTTTGAGGTAAAAAGACCCCTCGAATTACTTTTTTTTCCACACAAAGTATTTTAAAATATGCCACTGGTGAGGAAACTTAGGTATTTAATGAGCTATCTCAAGCCTATCTCATTTTACGATAACATTTTTTTGCTGTGTGAAAAGTGTCACATAGTAGGCCGATCAGTGGGATTGAATGTATAGAAGGATGAGAAGTAAGAAAAGATAGCGTTTTCTTATGTTTACCATGTTACTGCCCTATCAGAAAATTAATGTTACTCCACAAATAAATATTGTTGAAGACATGAATGAACTATAATCGGCTATCCCTTAATAGTCACATTGAAAATTATGTATTCAAATCATACATACAAATAATACATATGTATCAATAATACCTGTTCCTATTACTTAGCTACTGTAGTAATGGGAGCTGAGTTACCGATATTGCATAGTTGGTGCTCAGAGTGAATGATCATAAGGTTGAACGTTCCTGATAAGTAGACTCGAGAAGAATAAAGAGTAGGTCTTTGATATTTTTTTCTTTCTTCTCTTAGAGCCCTTTTATTTTTCCTTTCTGATTTCTTATGTTGAGAGAGAATTCTGTGTTTCTAACTCTCAATTTAGGAATCTGGTTATTTAATATGCTGGTTAAATGGCATTTTAAAACAGCTATTTAAAAAACTTCATGACAAACTCTATTTATTGAATGCTTCTGTTTTTTTTTAAGTAAACAAAAGTATTCTTGTATAATAAAAAGAGTTCAACTTTAGGCATTAATATCTGGTTTTGCAACAAATTATAGTTTGGATCAGAAATCTTCCTTTCTGTAAAATGCATACAACTGCTATGAAGTTAATAACATCAGGCTCTTTGTGCATAACTTAAAGATAAATCCAGTTCTGCCTTTAAATT